TGTGGTTTTTCTTACCCAGTTTCAGTTCTTTTTCGTTTTTTTTTTTTTTTTTTGGGCCACAATTTGCGTAAGCACCAGTAAGACGACTCATTCCAAGTCACGACCTGTCATTGTGAGACACAGCGAAGCAATCACACCCTATGACCCCATGTTGTTGATGGCCAAACTGTTTCTCGCTTTATCATCAAGGAAACCGATTAGTGGTGGAACATTGTCTTCTGGAGAACATGCTGTTCACAAACCTCACCACTGATCTGACCCCTGAAGTTAAATTATTCGAAATGCACGACTATAGAGGTAATGTCCATGTACTTTGTAATGCAATCCCGCCGTGCTTATTTTCTCAACTGCGGATGGGATGGAGGTCTTAACAGAGGTGGGAAATAAGAAAATACAAATACTTTGTTACTTGGTGTTCCAAAAGGCGTCATACTCAGTCCACTTATTTTTACAGTACAGGAATGAATCATAATGGAAAAACTTCCTTATTCATGTTTTATATTCAGATGTATGTTTTTACGATACTTTATACTATACTTTTTCAAAAAGTAAAGTATTTCTATTTGTTTTTGGAGGGAGGCTGGAACCAATGAATGGTATCGCCATTTATTTCAACGCGGAGATAATTTGGAATTGCAATGTGAGATTTGAGCTCGTGATCCAGTGGTTAGCGCGTCGACCTCACAGTGCAACAGTTCCGGGTTCAATTCCAGCTTCAGCCTCCCTGTGTGGTGTTTGCATGTTCTCCCCGGGCCTGCGTGGGTTTTCTCCGGGTACTCCGGTTTCCTCCCACATTCCAAAAACATGCATGGCAGGCTGATTGAACACTCTAAATTGTCCCTAGGTGTGAGTGTGAGTTCAGTGCAGATGGTTGTTCGTCCCTGTGTGCCCTGTGATTGGCTGGCGACCGGTTCAGGGTGCCCCCGTCAACTGCCTGAAGACAGTTTGACCTTGCAACAAACGATTTCTCCTGCCATTTTTTCCTATTCAACAAATAGTTTTAGAACTGCGTTACCTCAGCTCACACCGCATGATTGTGTGAATAAACACGGTGGCGAAAAAACGAATTCCACGATATCAATTTGACGTCAATAAAATGTCATCATCCCCGGTCTGTTGTTTTAATGAGCGGAGATGAATCGTGTTGACCTGACAAATGCCAGATGGATCACATCCATCACTTTCATCTTCATCGCCGCAGAAAACGTCACTTTCATGGATGGGTTTTTAGGTGGCTACTTGTGTCATATAAAGCAACCCGAACTTGCCTATCCCTTCGTAAAATGGAAGGCATGTGTTTTTGATGTGACAGAATGAAACCACAGCTTTTATGATGACGTAAAAATAACACTAACCAATAATAATAATTTAGAAATGGAACTGAAAATGCAGGCAGACGCTGGATGTTCCACTTGCGACATCCGATGACAACAGTTTTTGGCAGTTAAGCGCATTTTTAATACTATTGTTTACGGATACATTTTTTATTAAAAAATCAAATACAGACAGCCTTTTTTGACCTAATCTGAATAATTACACAGAGTGTTGTGAAAAGGTATTTACCCCCTTCCTGATTTCTCTGTTCTTTGCATATTTATCACACACAAAGTTTTAGGTTCATCAAACCAATTTTAACATCACACAAACAAAGCAGAAAGCAGGAAGGAGGAAATACATGCACTGTGTGCGCGTACACACACACACACACACACACACACACACACACACACGGTATAATAGATCACAAGAAAAAGGAATAAGGAAAAATAAAAAGAATATAGTTAACTCATAAGTCCCAGCAAAAGAAATAGTTTTGGCAAGGAGCTCCCTACAAAAAGGCATAGCGTTGATTAGTAGATCCCAAAATGATCGGGGAGATGTTGACAAAAAGCAATATGATTGATCCCTTGATTCAAAACTACTCAAAGTGACGACTATTTTATCCAATCGTGCTGACTTTGAAGACCGCAGATGCTAATATGATATAATTATTTCACGCAGGGTTTGAAAATAAGTAAAATGGTTTTGGCAGCATCAAAATTCCTTGTCTGAATTGACTTGAAGCTTTGATCCTTCTCCAGTGTCGTCTTCTTCATATTTTTACAAAATCTTTTGAAAGAAATGTATAACATCTGCATGTATTATGAGTCCGTGGGCACTGGAGCCAAAGACAGACATTTTAACAAATTGTATGATTTGAAAGACACTGATGCGTACTGTGATTCATGCTATGTCAAAATGGGCTAAGAATGGACCACATATGCATTTGGGAGTGAGCCATTAGTGTTGTTAATCGCCATGGCAAAATGACTGCTAATTTTAAAAGTTTTTTTTTTTTTCCCAGTAAGTAAACAAGTCCTTTTTTAATGCAGTTGAATGGGCGCCAATTATTGGCAGGTTTGGCGAATGGCGGACTCGCCTGACTTTCAATCCCGCTTCCACAGTGGGGAATAATTGTAATCTGTTCCACTGTCTGTATCCCTCATCCTCCACAACAAATGTTTGTGTAATGTATTTTTTTAACAATAATTGTACAAAAAAACCTACAATAATAAAATCATAAAATAGAATGTGAAGAATTAAACGATATGAACCACATATTTTTGACGCCTTGGCCACTTGGGGGCAGTATAATACGAGAAAAAGTTTGACCATAACCGTGAATTTTAACCATAATTTTGGACAACAGAGGTCATTGATTCATGGTTTCATTCACTCGACAGTTTTCCAACTAGCCACAAGATGTCAGAATTTAGTCACGAAGAATTAAGACAGCGTGCAGAGAAAAGTTACTCTGTTTAAAACACACATTTAGAATGAAACGTTGACCGTTTACTTAAAGAGGAAGTGAACAACAACAATAACAACAAAAATAAACAAATATGTAAGTGAGTTCCAAAAATTCCACCTCTGTCAATAACTGCGAAGGAAGCAACTGTTTTAATTTAATCAACTTAAAAAAACAACAACATCGGATAAATAAAAGGTTAATATTACCATAATTGTTACTATGAAGCATTAAAAAAGATGATTGCCCAATGTGCTTGAACATAGCAGTCTAAAAATATGTGCAAAAATGTAGATTATTCAAATCAAGTTGGAAGTGATCAAAAAGAGCAAAAAAGAGGGAGGATAT